CACATCCAATCCAATCATCTACTACTAGATAGTATTGAGGCCCGTGAGAGAGAGAGAGAGGATGTGGCGCATTGAAGATGACCCTGTAGACTTTAAAACGTGTCTGTTAAAAAAAGGTTTCCACACTGTGTTTCGTTCTCCTCCCAACCAACGTGACGGTCTTGGGTGGTATAGATGATTTGATATTTATAATTATATGGCTGTGATATTTGATGCATTAATTTTGATCCAACTACCAAAACATAAAGACCCATCATTTCTGACAACGAAGAACATGTGGATCATTTTAATTCAAACTCGATTTTGTTTAAAAAATAAAAACTTTATTATTATGTATAAAAATGATGTTTGGATCCAAAGATTATACACTCACACTCCTTTCTTCTCCTTCAGATCCCAATTCCATGGGACATTCCTCAAACTCCGGAGCCGTAATGGCGGCGGCGGCGGCGGCAATGGGCGTCTTCATTTTGATGCTGAGCGGAAGTCATTGCAGCGTTGCTTCTCCAACTCCTTCCAGTTATGGCAACATCACCGTGGCCGCTGCCGCATCGATGTGGTGCGATGGCCGTGTCGAAGAATGCGTCACACGAGAAGGCGACGGCGAGTCGGCATTCCCAAGCTTGCTAGCCTCTACACCTAAGTTTATCAGTTTTCCGACGAGAAATCGGAATAAACCTGTGTGTGAGCGACCGGGAGATTATAAAAGCTGTTTCAATGCAAGGCGTACAAACACCAAGAACGACAATTGTGGCACATATGGTCGCGCCTGTCGAAGGTAATAAGAAGCAGAACGAACGAAAAATTTAGATTTGTGGTCGGCCAATTTCTCCTGTAATGCCCTGACTTTTCATATATAGAGCCGTTACATAAAAAAATAGTTTTATAATTTTAATTTTATGTTCTTTGAATTTGAGAGAATTTATTCAAATTATGCTTCCTTGCTATTATTGTTATCATTGTAACATGGATGGATGGTTGTATCGTACAATGAAGCTTTGTTATGCCAACAAAAACCGAACCCAAACATCCTTACCGACAACTAAATTGTGCCAATAATAATCCAGAACACAAATTTATTGTTCATGTTTTCTCGTATTGATGACATACATTTAACCTTCTCGTTTATTGATCGTGGTAGCTAAGAGTATCAATAGCAATATCCAAGTTGGTGATAGATCTATAACGTCTAAGACCCGACGAGTCAGTGCTAGCTCGATGTAAATATTTTGTCATTGTAAACACAACGACTATCTATGATTTTCAAAAACAACATCCATAACCGTAACAACCTAACTCCATCGTTACTAGATATTGTCCGCTTTGGCCTATTACGTACATTCTCAGGCTCACAATTTTACAACACGTCTATTAAGGAGATGTTTCCACACCTTAATTGAATACAAAATGTTATGACATTACACTGCAACAACTTGACAATACAGACAAAACGTCTCCATGCCCTCCATGCAGGTGAAATGCTTGAATGACTCTAAGTATCTCAAACACTTAATATAGCATTTCAGCGCTCTCCTTACATGTCTTTTAGCCATTCTCCAGTTATTTTCGACAGTAATTCCTCATATAACTTGAGTAGAAACACATTATTCAATAGAGAAGATCGCCTAGTCAATAATTGGAAAGAGAATCATAAATGCAAGACAGAGAGGTGGGGGTAGGACTTCGGAGAAGAAGGTGAGAAGTCCCCATCAAAGACACTGTCTTTTAATGCATAACACCGAGCAAAAAGTTTAAACGAGTCAAATTTTTTTCGTTACAACTAGAGATAAACTTCAAAGATTTTTCTTCCGAAGAATTTAGTACGTGGACCCTTGACCATGCAGCGACGTTGACTCTATCCAAGTCTTTCAACCCGAGTTAAATTAATAAAAATTCAGTAATAATTTGTTTAAAAAATATCCTTAAACTTGGTCGGGTTAGCTTATTAAAAGCCTACAGTGAATGACAGCTTTTCTCATCTTCTTCTCCAGTCTCCTCAGCTTGCATTTATGGATTACAGTTCTTTCAATTTCTTTTAAGACCTTTTCTTTGAAGAACAAGCTTCATCTCCTCTAATGGCGGACTGTAAACCCAATTACGCTTCTGCAATTTCAACTCTCCTATTTGCTTTCTTTCACCTCCAATTCCTCTCCCACCCTGTCGCCGGCGACTTGACCGTCCCCTACGAACCCACCGAGATTATAAATCTTGATTGTGGCTCATCGGGAAACACACATCAACTTGGGGACACGGCCCACATCTGGGAGGGAGACACCGCCTCGAAATTCTTCCCTTCGAATCTCCTTCATAATGGCCAGTCCGTCCGGGCGGAGGCGCAGTTCAGTTCAGCCGGAGTTCCGTACACGACAGCACGGCTATCACACTCCGCCTTCACCTACTTGTTTCCCTTAACTCCCGGTCAGAAATTCATTCGACTTTACTTCTACTCTTCTAAATTCCAGAGCTTCGACCGCTCCAAAGCGGTGTTCTCTGTTTCAGCCGGCCCCTTCACTCTCCTCCGTGATTTCAACGCTGCTGTCAACGCAAATGCTTCCGGTGAGGACACGTTGTTTCGAGAATTTAATGTGTATGTGGAGGGAAATGATCAGAAATTGAATCTTACATTCAGTCCATCAAATCAAGACTCGTATGCTTTTGTCAGTGGGATTCAGATTGTTTCCATGCCGGTGAATCTTTATCATACGCCGCCGGAGATTAACAACGACGGTGGTCGAGGGTTGAATCTCGTTGGCCAAAATAATCAATTCTTCCCAATTGAAAACCACACATCTCTTGAAACGGTGTACCGGATCGATATTTGTGGAAATAACATCTCCCCTGTTAACGATACCGGAATGCTTCGAACTTGGTCGGCGGACAGTGAAAGTAAATTGTCGGATGAGTACTTAGATGAAGCTTGTCCTACTGATCTTGATATCCAACTCAATCACAGGAAAATTCCGGCATACTCTGCTCCAGACAGGGTGTATCAAACTGCCCGAACCATGGGACCGAACGTTACAAGGAACAAGAGCTACAACCTTACATGGGTGTACCCTGTAGATCCTGGGTTCTTTTACATGATTCGGCTTCATTTCTGCGAGTTTCAAAAAGAAATCAACGACACAAACGACAGAGTGTTCTTGATTTATATCGCAAACACGATTGCTGAAAAGGGCGCCGACGTGTTTCGTTGGGCAGGCGGGAAAGACATTCCATATTACAGAGATTACGCTGTGAATATGCCTCATAATAACGGCGAAAAGAAAGTGAGTCTGTCTGTAAAGCTTCAAGCAAACCCAGATGACTGGAGAACGAGATTCACTAACGTGATCTTGAATGGTATCGAAATCTTCAAATTAAATGATTCAAGCGGCAGCCTCGCCGGCGAAAACCCAGGTCCACCGCCCACTCTGCCTCCTCTACCGCCCACCCCACAATCAAGGAAATCAGATAGAAAAATGGTGGGTGTTCTAATCCCTGCAGTTGTTGGAGGTTTGGTTGCTGTAATAGCTCTGGGATTGTTTGTTATCTGTCGGCGGAGAACATTTTCCGACCAGACATCAAGCGACGGTACTTCCTGGTGGGCTCCGTATTCCATGTCAACAAACAAATCAAGTAAGACCCGCAACTCAAATCTCCCATCTGATTTATGTCGTTACTTTTCATTGTCGGAGATTAAATCCGCCACCAAAAACTTCGATGACCTTTTCATCATCGGCGTCGGCGGATTCGGAAACGTCTACAAAGGATACATCGACGACGGAGCCACCCAAGTAGCAATCAAACGATTGAAGCCTGGTTCAAAACAGGGCGCACACGAATTCAAAACAGAGATCGAGATGCTCTCACAACTCCGCCATCTCCATCTCGTTTCACTAATTGGGTATTGCAATGATGGCAATGAAATGATTTTAGTGTACGATTATATGTCTCATGGTACCCTTCGTAGCCACCTCTACGGCGACGACGAACAACCTCTGACATGGAATCAGCGCCTCCAGATCTGCATCGGAGCTGCCAGAGGATTACACTACCTTCATACGGGCGCGAAACACACAATCATCCACCGCGATGTGAAAACCACAAATATCTTACTGGACGACAAATGGGTCGCTAAGGTTTCTGATTTTGGATTGTCGAAAGTGGGGCCGACCAACATGTCGAAAGCGCACATTAGCACGGTAGTGAAAGGTAGCTTCGGTTATCTAGACCCAGAGTACTACCGACGGCAACAATTAACAGAAAAATCGGATGTTTATTCATTCGGAGTAGTTCTATGTGAAATTCTCTGTGCGCGTCCGCCATTGTTGCGCAATGCCGACAAGAAACAAGTGTATCTCGCAGAGTGGGTCCGGCGGTGTTACGGCGACAACACGGTGGGTCAGATCATTGACCGGAACATCAAGGACGAGATCTCGCCGGAATGCTTGAGGAAATTTATAGAGATTGCAGTGAGTTGCATCCAGGACGATGGAATTAAGCGGCCGGCGATGACCGACGTGGTGTGGGGATTGGAGTTTGCGTTGCAGTTGCAGGAGGCGTGGAAGAAGAAGGTAGTAAAAGATGAGGTAGACGGCGGCGGAGACAAAGGTGTGGATGAGGAAGAAGGGTGGTTGATGGGGGAGATGTTGTTCAGTAGTGTCGGGGATGGAAGACGCGGGTCGGATTCGGGGATAAGCAGTGAAGTGACGACGACAAGCAATAGTGAAGATTCCAGCTCTGCGTATGACAAAAGAATGTCTGGAACTGTTTTCTCCGAGATTAAGAACCCAGCTGGACGATGAAGGACACGTGTTATTATTATTATTAAATAATTATCTCCCACTTTATTTAGTTTGGAATGATGTGTCAAATTTATGCCATAGAAGACCAGTCCAAAGGAACTTTACACAATTTAATTTGGAATGATGTAATCGTTACACTACTCTCCACAATGGTATGATATAAGCTCTCGTGACTTTGCTTTGGGCTTCCCCAAAAGGCCCAAAAGGCCTCAGCCAATGGAGTTAGTATTCCTCACTTATAAACTCATGATCACACCCTAAATTAGTCGATGTGGGACTTCCATCATTCAACAATGACAATGAATTATTGGGCCATCCAATCAAACAAATACGAAAATTCAATTTAATTTAGTTTGCTCAACCAGCCAACCTATGGGTGAAGAGTGAATAATATATGGGGTTTATTTTCTTTTTTTCCACATCCCCGTGTGGGGTTGATAGGAATGGAGACGAGTATAGATTTAATCCTGGGTTCTTTTACATGATTCGGCTGCATTTCTGCGAGTTTCAAAAAGAACTCAACGACACAGATGACAGAGTGTTCTTGATTTATATCGCAAACACGATTGCTGAAACGGGCGCCGACGTGTTTCGTTGGGCCGGCGGGAAAGACATTCCATATTACAGAGATTACGCTGTGAATATGCCTCATAACAATGGCGAAAAGAAAGTGAGTCTGTCCGTGAAGCTTCAAGCAAACCCAGATAACTCGAGAACGAGATTCAATAACGTGATCTTGAATGGTATAGAAATCTTCAAATTAAATGATTCGAGCGGCAACCTCGCCGGCCAAAACCCAGATCCACCGCCCACTCTGCCTCTTCTACCGCCCACCCCACAATCAAGGAAATCAGATAGAAAAATGGTGGGTGTTCTAATCCCTGCAGTGGTTGGAGGTGTGACTGCCACATTAGCTCTGGGATTGTTTGTTTTCTGTCGACGCAGAACATTTTCCGACCAGACCTCGAGCGACGGTACTTCCTGGTGGGCTCCGTATTCCATATCAACAAACAAATCAAGTAAGACTCGCAACTCAAATCTCCCATCTGATTTATGTCGTTACTTTTCGTTGGCGGAGATTAAATCCGCCACCAAAAACTTTGATGACATTTTCATCATCGGCGTCGGCGGATTCGGTAACGTCTACAAAGGATACGTCGACGACGGAGCCACCCTAGTGGCAATCAAACGGTTGAAGCCTGGTTCTAAACAAGGAGCACACGAGTTCAAAACAGAGATCGAGACGCTCTCACAACTTCGTCATCTCCATCTCGTCTCACTAATTGGGTATTGCAATGAGGGCAACGAAATGATTCTAGTCTACGATTATATGTCTCATGGTACCCTTCGTAGTCACCTCTACGGCGACGACGAACAACCTCTCACATGGAACCAGCGCCTCCAGACCTGTATCGGATCTGCCAGAGGACTACACTACCTTCATACTGGTGCCGAACACACCATCATCCACCGCGATGTGAAAACCACAAATATCTTACTGGACGACAAATGGGTTGCTAAGGTTTCTGATTTTGGATTGTCCAAAATCGGGCCAACCAACATGTCCAACGCACACATTAGCACAGTAGTCAAAGGTAGCTTCGGTTATCTCGACCCAGAGTATTGCCGACGACGACAACTCTCAGAAAAGTCCGATGTATATTCATTTGGGGTGGTTCTCTGCGAAGTACTCTGCGCTCGCACACCAATTATTCATACAGTCGCCAATACTCGAGTTCTATTGACAGAATGGGTAAAACAATGCATTCATGAGAAGAAAATTACAGAAATGGTAGACCCAATTCTTCGAAACCAAATTGGAACAGAGTGCTTCAGTAAATTCGTTCAAGTTATGGTGAGTTGCATTCAAGATGAGGGAAACAAGCGACCATCGATGAACGATGTGGTACGAGGCCTAGAGTATGCATATCAACTACAAGAGAGTTCTAAGGAGGATAATGTTGAACTGAGTAGCCTCGACAACGAAGATGGTTGGCTCTTGAGGGAGGGGATGTCTAGTAACACTAGTATAGAAATGAATGAGAACTCAAGTAATGTGTATAATAATGGGATGTCAGGGATTGTTTCGAGCCTACAAGCAAGATAAATGTCCCTCAATTCATTTCAATGCTCGAATTGGATTCATATTATTGACAGTCTAATACTATACATAAAGATAATAAGACCCAAAACTTTGGGCTGTCTTTTCCACTTATGGTCATTATACCAGTCCATCATTTTGGGTGCAGCTGAATCTCATATTGTAGCTAACCTCTTTGCCTTTTCAATCAATATAAAAGAATAGAAATTGATTCAAAAAACCAATAGAACATGAGGTGGCAAGATCAGGCCCTTTCATTTCATCCCTCTTGCAATGAAGATCCACCAACTTTATTCATTCACATGCCATATCAATAAAGCAACACTTCAATAAACTTTCAATGCAAACCATCCATCTGTCTAGCGGGTGAGAGAGACTGGCTCCTATGGTTTTTTGGTCTTTGAGATCTCTACCAATAGTCTATGCAGAGCCTGAGGTTTTGAGAAAAAGGGAGAATGATCTGCACCTTTGAGAATGAAGACCTGTTCCGGAGGGCTTCTCTCAATCAAGGTCTCCTGGATTGAGACGGGTATGGCATTGTCATTCAATGTCTGTATGTAAAACCGTCTCACCGATCCATACCTTGTTTCTGAAAGACGAAGCTTTTCTAATACGGGTGGGAAGGGTATTGGTCTCATCGAAACAGATGCTAGAGCTACATCCTGAATCAGGACAATGGAATGATCAATTGACTGAGTTTTTCTTGATTTCTAGAATCAATGAACGGTGTTTTGATTATTTGCAGCTCAAGTATAGTGATCGCTCTATTTTCTTTTTTCTCTATTGAAATCAAAGTGTATACTGAGTTTTGTAAGAACGGATGGAATAAAGAACGAAACTAATTACCTTGGCAGTAGTTTGATTGAAGAACAAGTCCTTTAACAAAGGTTTTTTCAATTCAATAGTTGTTGGAGCATTGTCGTTGCCATTTGCGTACACGAAGACCTGAGCCTGTCGCATGACATCGTCCGCACCAGCCTAGCGCAGATTCCAACATAGCTCACTCAAAAGAAACAAAATTGAACAAAACCAGGAGAGTGCAGAAAGATTGTCGAGCAGCATTGACTAAAACCCAAAAACTAGGCATTCATTCATACCCATATGGAAAATCTTTTAAATGAAATTCGAAATTTCTACAGATAATCAAGTCTAAAAGCATTCAAAATTTGGAATTTATCAGGGAATGAGAGTACCTGCAAGGAGAACATATCCAGAGTGTTTTGCCCATCACTCAACATTGCCGCAGCAATGAAAACAGCCTTTGCAATTTTAAAATGAAACAATTCCATTGCATATGAAATACAAGCACCACCAAAATCATGCCCAACTAGGATAACCTGCATACATTAAGACGCAGAAAGAAATTGAGCTTATACAGAGGAAGTCAAGTGCAAAATACAATTATTTACAAAAAAAAATAGTTGACTGAAACCGAAAAACCATCTCAAGAACAGTGTTGTTGAACGACCACTACCTAAGCTAAGTCCAAGAGGTGCTCCACCAATCAGGCTCAAGTAAATTCAATACTTTCAGTATATTCTCGACTCCCATGAACATACGCATGCATACCAATGCATACAGAATACATATATATACATGTACATACTTGTAAGTAAATTGGTTAAGAGGACGGAGATGAGGAAAACCTTTTCGCCATCAGGAAGCTTTTCAAGGAAATCAGTAAGCGGCTGCACATATTGCGAGAGATCTGTGATGCTGTTTGGATCAAATGAATGAACTCCTGAACCAGTTAAGTCTATGGCCGTAGCTCTATAGCCCACTTCTTCAAGGAGGGCAATAGTTTTATACCAACACCAAGCACCAAAACCACCTCCATGGACAAGAACAAAGTGATTTGTTTCCAAGTCATCTAGCTTTATATCCTGTGAATTGGAGATTTATTAGAACCATAAATGCTTTCGGTACGAAGTTCAGAAAATAACCTCTTGAATCAATATGTGAAAAATATGTACAAACAGCAAAATCCTTTGATAATTTGAACAGAATCCAATAGATTTTACTAGAAATTTGAAGTAGATGTTCATCAACACAAATTTCTCATGCTGTTTACATTAATAAACAGTTTCTAGTTCGAGAAATTTAAAGACTATCATTCTTTTCCTCTCTTTTCTTTCCTTTTCAAGAAATCACTCTTTATCTGAAATTATTTTTCAATTATTGTATCCGTAGTTGAAATGAAGTTTATATTTAACAAATAGTTACATTGAAGTTCTCATTAAATACAGAATGAGAACAAATTTACGATAATTCACTTCTCATCGTACTATGAATGATTTGAATGCATTTGAATGTTTGAAAACTCTCATTAGGTTCAATTCGAGTAAATTTCTCGCTGAACTGATTCAAAACTGACCTTAAATAATTCGGTTTCACAGACAAATTTGGAATTCTCCAAACACAATTCTCAATTCATATCATAACAATTTCAATTAACCCTCATCTGTCAACAATCAAACATGGAATCGCCGATCATACATGTCAATCACAATCACACAATCAAAATTTAAAGAAAAAAAAAAAAACTCGACGAACCTGATTAACAAGCTGATGAGGCTGAAGGAGAGGGTCAGTGAGCGAGCGAGCGCGAGAACTCGAACTCCGCGGCAAGACGTTCCGATTCTTCCTACCGGAGGGCGGCTGCCGAAGTGAAGTAGACCGATCAAACGAACAATCCATTGGATGTTTCTGGAAGAGCGCCGCCGCCGCTGCCAAAGCCTGCTCCGAACTCATCGACTCTCCAACCTTCTCCCTCCGCGAAGAGCGCGTTCGAAACCATCGGTTGCTGGAAATGGACAACGGCGGTGGGTTCGGGAAAGTGTTTTCCGGTTGCTTCACCACTGGTTTTGGCGGCGAGAATGTGGCGCAAAGATTACCCATTCCCGACGCATGCAGAACAGAGCAGAGTCTACAGAGAGAAAGAGAAGAAAAGTTTCCCGAATTCTGTTCCTGCAGAGAGATGGGAGATCAAAATCGTATTGATTGTGTCGAAGGGAAAGACATTGATACCAAATGATGGTCACCCTCTGCTCTGCGTGTTCTTGCAAATGATTATCTACTTTCTTTATTTTCTGCTTTTCATTGCTCCAAACTTACATCTTTCGGTTCCAACTAATTCTACATTAAAATGCTAACAATTCTAAGTCATTCAAGTAAAATCCATAAATAATTGTTACTGGATCAATTAAAAACTTCATGATTAAACGTGATTTACTAGAAGTAATTCTATGTTAAATGATATGTCTCTGACTCATGATGGTTAGCGGGGTTAGTGGGGATAGTTTCCGGTGTTACATGAACACGACTCTCCACAATGATATTGTCTCCTTTTAGCATAAGCTCTCATGGGTGCTTCACACCAATGGACAGAACCTTTCTTGATTATAAACCTATGATCATTCCCTAAACGAGCCTATCTGTGACTTTCATCATCCAACATCCGGTACCTTCCTAGTTGCCCAATGCTAAAATTTCGAACTACATAGAATTTGTAATTTATTTTTCTTTTACTTAGTAAGTAAAGATTTTTCGGGTTGGAGCTCTCTACGCCCCCTTCCATCTCGAGCCACTATGAGGGGACCAGAGACATTCTCACGACAAGAACAAATTGAATCCATACATTTAATTCATTTAGATAGTTTGACAAAGTCAAACAAAATTTTGTGTATACTAAAATTTGATACCATTAATTGATTTGCCTGTAACAATTGGGTTACTATATATATATATATTCTAATTAAGTAACCATTTAGGGTGTGCGAACTATATATTAAAAAAAATACATTATGATATTAGGTACCATATGCTTAAGAATCTCTAAATCAAAATTTGGTATGTTTTTAAAATTATCCTTTTATAAAAGATACACTTAATAAGAATTTTCATGTCTTTTAGGAACATCCTGTCTTTTTATATTACTTCAAAGTACTCAAAAGCCTTTTTGAAATTTAATTAAATATGAGAAATACAACTATTTATTAATTTTCATTTTTTATTAAGCATTAAGAAACAACAAATGAATGTGGAATTTAATTAATTTAAATTTATTTGGGTTTGGTAAATGAGAAAGCAAGCAAGATTCCTGGAAACTGATTATGAAATACAACTGTAAAATGGAAGCTTTTTTTGATTTGGTTATGGTTTTGGTCGGTGGTTTTGCCAAAAGTGGTTTTCTTTTTGGTTCAACTTTCCTTTGGCCCTCTAAAAGCATAGACGTTTTTGTGGGAAAGTTGTGGTTCTTAGCTTGCGTTCTTTAATGTCCCTTCCCATTCCAACTGTGTATCGACTTCTCAACTACAACTTCAATGTCAATCTCAGTGTTCAATGTCCATAGTTTGAGTATTTGATAACTTCGATATTCTTCTGTATCTCTACATCAAATTTAAGGCTAACGACATGAACAACACGTAACGTTCAATGCCCAGAATTTGAAATTCAGATTCAGCATGATGGCTCTGATATTCTCATGCATCTTCGTATCAAATTTAGGGTTAACAACATAAACAACATGTAGCGTTCAATGCCCAGAATTTCAAATTCAGATTCAGCATCTAATGACTCTGATATTCTCCTGTAACTCTGCATCAAATTTAGGGTTAACGACATGAAGAACACATAACATCTCATGCCTAGGATTTGAAATTCAAATTCAGCATGATGGCTTCGATATTCTCATGCATCTCTATATCAAATTTAGGGTTAACAACATAAATAACATGTAGCGTTCAATGCCCAGAATTTCAAATTCAAATTCAGCATCTAATAACTCTGATATTCTCCTGCATCTCCACATCAAATTTAGGGTTAACGACATGAACAACACATAACATCTCATGCCTAGGATTTGAAATCCAAATTCAGTATCTGATGGCTCCGGTATTCCCCTGCATCTAACATGGTCAAGTTACTTACTTCTTACTTCTAATAACGAAGATTATCCCCACAAACTAATATGAGTCTTTTCAACATACTTTGTTCTTACTCGTATGCATCTTATAAAAATTCTTAAGAGGTCACCAATATAAAGTTAATCTATACTCTACCTACCTTCAATGAAACAAACAAAGAGAGTGTTCGAGTCCAAAGAAAGGACATGTAGCCGGGGGCGAGTGTCCTGGAGGCTCTCCGGCCGGGGAGGGGCTTGCCTTCATGCACCTCAACTCCATAATGGAAAGTTTGGTAATCAAGGTTCTCAGGACCAATGCTGCGAGCAGAATACCATGGGATCCTCAATTGACCACTGAGAGAGGCGATCCTTTGTGGTATTTACAAGAAGGAGGGAAGAGCTCGTGCAGAAGGTCCGCGGGCCATGGGGAGGAGATCTAAGATCAATTACCAACTTGCTCCGCCTTACTACTCTGATCAAATGCTGGAGGTATGAGACAGGATCAGGAGAAAGAAGAATAAGTAGCTCAACTGTAAAATGGAGTGCTATCATATAGCTTTGTATCGGCTAAGTTCACGGGTTGGCTCCAAGTAAAACATGCTTAACTATAATATTCTTTATGTCACCGAAAAAGAAGCTGCATATTATTAGTAATAGTAGTGATTTTCAATTCTTTTAAATTTTTCTTAGTCATCCTATCCTCTGTCTTGCTTTAATTCGAATTTATTTTAGTTGGTTCGTGTACTCATCCTTTACCCAAGTGTCACGTCGAAACTCCAATAGTCAAGGTTTGTGACTACCCAAGCCAACATCTCTAATTCAGGCCACACACTCCATATCCCAATTCCTTCACCACATACCAAACAATCCAATATCTTCAACACCCCGACGACTCCTCCTCCTCTTCTCATTATTGTTCACATGGGAATTACTTCAAACACCATGGCTGCAACTCTACTGACACCATCAATGACGATTCTGTTCATAATTCTGCTGCTGAACCCCCCAACCATTTCCCATGCGGCCATCAACAAGACCGCCGCCGAGTGGTGCGACGGCCGCCTGGAGAACTGCCTCATCGGCGACCTGAACTCCGATTCGGAGTTTCTGATGGAAACCGAGACCAGCTGGATGCTGCTGGACTTCAATTCTTTCCAAACTCCCAACACCAACAAACTTGACAAACAATCGGTTCCGGAGTGTAATCGGCCGCCGCGGTACGACGGCTGCCTCGGCCAGAAAAACAAAATTCCAAACCCGGAAAATTGCGACCCCAGGAATCGCGCCAATCCCTGTTAGAACCTCCTTAGAAACAAAATAAAACAGATTCCAGGTACTTGTGCTGTGATTTAGAGTAATGTTGCTTCAGGGTCTGTATGAATCCTGTGTGTTAATGTTTGAATATCCAATTGCTTTCTCTGTTTTTTTTCGTCCACCAATAATTTGTTAGGAACCACGCACAATGGTACGATATTATCTCTAGTGACTTTGTTTGGGCTTCCACAAAAGACCAGCAGATCTCATAGATAGTATTCATCACTTGTAAATTATCTTTCACTAAATTAATCAAGTTGGGACTCACTCCCAATAATCCTCATCATAATTCTCATATCAAATTTGGATCTGAACTGGAATTTGAACCTCTAAAAAATGCCGAGATCATATCATTATAATAGAACCGGATCATACCACCAATTAAAAGCAAAAAAAAAAAAAAAAAAAATTAAGTTCAAATCATGTTTTCATCGTTTGAAATAATATTTAAATTCTTAACCAAACTAAAAAAACAAAAAGATATTTATATCCTTATTTTTTCAAGTGGTATCAAATAAGTATGACTTCATTCCTCGTTCAATTTCAATTTTTGATTCTCTTCGGTAAGAAAAAAAAATCTCAATTCCCAATTTGGAGCTCGCCTGAGAGATAATTTGATCAGTTATTAGTCGATGTGGGTGTAATTAGGTTTTTCCGGTTTCCCCTCACGTCTACTAGAGAAAGATTTTCACATCCTTATTTCGTACGTTTCCCCAACCAATATGGAACTCTCACATAGTCCATGCCCAACGTCTTCGCTGGTACTGGCGTACTCGCTAGCACTTGTTCTTTTCTCCAATCGATGTGGGACCTCCATCAAATCGACCCACTTCAGGGCCCAGCATCCTTACTGGCACATACCACCTTGTGTCTACCTCCTTTGGGGAATAGCCTCCTCGTTGACATATTGTTCGGTGTCTGGCTCCAATACCATTTGTAACTGCTCGGGCCCACCGCTAGTGGATATTGTCCTTTTTAGGGTTTTCCTTTCGAGCTTTAAAACTAGTCTGCTAGGAAAGGTTCCTACACCTATATAAAATGTGTTTCGTTCTCCTACGCAACTAATGTGAGACTTTTCTCCTAACAATTATCCTAACAATGTGAGAATAATAATAATAATAATAAAATCTCTATTTTAAGGCAGCAGGATAGAGACGATTTGATGGGGAAATTGGTAATAAGGCGTTTTTGGCAACGGTAAAGACCGGGGGGTTTTTTGAATATAAATTGATGCCCACATGACGTACTTCTCAAGCGTTCGTTATTAAATTCCGAGAATGGGTCGCCTCCTCCGCTCAACATTCCTCCTCTCCGATCTCTAAACCTCCCCAAAAATTTCTCGATCTCTACAAGTTTCATCTCCATCGCTCTCTCTCTCTCTCTCATTCTGATTTCGCTTCTTCCCGATTCGTTTTCCTTCATATCACGCTTTCGGTTTTCTTCCCGTTGCTTTGATTTGTTACAGTTTTCCGAGTTTGATCGGCTGAGCGAAAATTGAGCAACGTTCTGCACCAGTCTGATACGATTGAGGAAGCGGTAACTTTTCCGATGATTTTCTATTATTAGGGGTTTATGTGATTCTTCGTTAGTTTGGGCCTTTGCAGCAAGCACTTCTATTGTTATTGTTGTTGTTTTAAAATTGAAGTTGTACCTGCCATTTGTTTGGGGCAAAACGTGATCTCATGCTGATTTTTTGCTAGATTATTGCTTAATAGGTTGCTGGAGTCTTGGTATAATGAAGGACATTAAAATAATTGTTCCTCTTCGGACATGCTACGATGTCTTGAGGAGATGAAATCGAAAGACTAGGCGGATG